CCCTACAGAATCATTTTACTCTTAAATCCACACTCCCACAGTCCTTGTCTGCCCCTATTTTCTGTGATACCTGCATTAGGTCTGAAGCTGTGTCCCTTATGACTGGCACTAGCTGCTCTAGGCACTAGGGTCTCTAAGGGACCCTATAATGTCTGACTTGTAGCAAGTGGGTTTTTGGTTTGTTTCTTTTTGTTTGTTTTGAACTGTTTTACTGGGCCCTAAGGTAAAAAGGTAATAATTTGAAAGGGTAGAAGCCTCAAATACATGGTAAAATAGGTCAACAGTGTTAAATTTTCGTGGAGATGGTAGCAAACAGGATCACACACAGCTCAGTCCTGAGGAAATTAGGCCCACAGCCATGCCTCTCACTTGCTCAGAATCATAACATACTGTCACACTTGCAGTTGTTGTCACTCAAGTTACTTTGGGATACAGTGTAAATACTAGAATAAATTTAGAGGTGTGGAGGGGAAATCACAATTACATATTACTTCCTGTACGTAAGAGTAAGATTTCTCTTTTCCTCTCCCAAGATAAATCAAAACAGACACACACCACTAACTGCTACATGAAATCTGTGAACACAAAGGAAAATAAACAGCAGCATCAGTAAAATCCAGAACAGTAACACTATCTTAAAAATAAAAAAAAAAAAAAAAAAAAAAAAAAAGAAGACAAAAAACCTCTCCTAGACTTGATACAGCAAATAGTACCTGCTGAGAAAACAAGACAACTTTTTGCTACTTGGTGATGGCTCTCTAGAGGCTTATGGAAGGGCAATATGACTAAAATAGTGTGAAAAATAAAAATAAAAATCAGGTTTTTTTAGAAGCCCCCTTCAAGTACTGGAAGGCCACAATGAGGTCTCTCCAGAGCCTTTGCTTCTCCAGGCTGAACAGGTCCAACTCTCTCAGCCTGTCTTCACAGCAGAGCTGCTCTAGCCCTCTGAGCATCGTCCCGGCCTCCCCTGGACCTGCTCTAACAGGTCCATGTACTTCCTGTGCTGAGGACCCCAGAGCTGGATACAACACTCCAGGTGGGTCTCACGAGAGCAGAGTAGAGGGGCAGAATCACCTCCCTCGACCTGCTGCTCACACTCCTTTGGATGTAGCCCAGGATACAATTGGCTTTCTGGGCTGTGAGTGCACATGTCTGGACAACTCATCTAACAACACTCCCAAGTCCTACCCAGCAGGGCTGCTCTCAATGCATAGTTCTTCAAGTCTGTACTCATGTCTGAGATTGCCTGGACCCAGATGCAGGACCCTGTACTTGGACTAGTTGAATCTCAGGAGGTTCCCTTGGGCCCACTTCTCAGGCTTGTCCAGGTCCCTCTGGATGGCATCCAGTCCATCAGGTGTGCAACCATTCAGCTTGGTGCCATCTGCAAACTTGCTCAGGGTGCACTTGACCTCACTGTCTGTCATCGACAAAGATAATAAAGAGCACTGGACCCAAGACAGACCCCTGAGCAACAGCACTCATCACTGGCTTCTGTCTGGACATAAGAACTATTGACCATGATTCTCTGGCTGCGTCTTGAGAGACTGTCAGAAAAAAAACCAAGCTGGAAGACAACACTTCATCCCTGTCTAGGCTGTGCCAGCCACTGCCATAACAACTACCTGAAAGACAGCTGGAAGAAACAGTGGTCTGGTCTGGAATACAAATAATAATAAATTCTCAAGCTTTAACTGTTCCCAATGCCTGTTTAAAAGCTCTTAATATTACAGAGAGATTTACATCTAAACTAGCTCATCTAAAAACAAGATACTTATGTTTGCAATTATACCACAAAGAAGTAAGGTTGATTGAAATATTCTGAAATGTAAATGATTTAATACACTGCCTATGGAAATTTAGTATGGGAAATCTGTGAATGGCACTTAAAACCCCCAAAGCAGTGGGTTTTTTTCCATATCCATGTCTTTCCATATCTTAAATTAAAATTATACACTCAAAAAAGGAAAATCAATTCAGATAAATATTCAACATCTGTATCCTTAACCTTTACCACTGTAGCTGGAGGTAAGCACAATCAAAATGTGTAAAGTGACTAAGGAAAAACAGTTCTACAAAGATGGAAAACGTATGGATGTAAATGAATCCAAGACAGAAATATATGATTTAAAGATTTTCTTTACTTATCACCGTGAAATTCTTTACTGGAAGCTTTATAAATGTATCTAATAAATGTCTAATGACTGTCTAATGCATGTTTAATATGCCTTCTGCAAATGTTCCACACTGAGGGAAGAAACACTCCAATAAGCAAACCACCACAACTGAATACATGTCTTTTCTAAATACATTGACATCATTACATACTGTACCTTGCCACTGAGGGAAGAAACACTCCAATAAGCAAACCACCACAACTGAATACATGTCTTTTCTAAATACATTGACATCATTACATACTGTACCTTGCCACTAAGGCACAGGCAACTGTCAAAGTACTGCACACTGTAACTGCAAGACTTCTAAATAACCTGATATATGCAAAGCAACTCTATTCCAATGAAAATAATAATGCCTTACAGGATTTCTAGAGGAAACATTACATGTTTTTCCCCCCTCTGCTAGGAAAAAGAGTAACCTGCAGTTCTGTATTTCACTATGCATATGGCAATTTAATATGCATATTTTTATTCCTATATCCACATTCATTTTTGTTTATGTGCTATTTTTCTTTGTCTTTCTCTATACATTTTTTCTTCTCATTTTTATTACTTCCTCATGAGATAGTTTTGGATTTGTGACATTCTACCTTAGAACGACAAATTCAGACTACAAATTCAGTCTAAGATCATATCTGTATGCATAATAGGTCATTTTTACTAAGAAAGTTAACTGAATTAGGAACTTTTCAACGTGTTTTGGTACAGAGTTGTGCACGTCCTTGGCACACTGAGATACAATTACACGTATCTCAGTTTCATGAATCCAGCATATTCCTGCATAACTTTGCCTTGCATGGTTTAAATTTTTCATTACAAATAAATCAGGAACATTTAAGTAGTGAAATCAAATATATTTCAACAGGTCAATTTGTAGCAAATGAGGTTTTAAATGTGATGGTGGCTATGTGATAAAGACTGTGCCCATTTCAGTAGCTCTGGTGTGTAGCAAAATATATTGGTAAGCAGAACATCAAAATATGGTTTGCTGTTGTAAACTATCTGTGCATTCTGACAGCTAAGCAGAGGGAGCTGCACAAATAAACAGTGGTCAGACTTCCTTCACTGAGACAGAAACTGTTCGATGATTTCTCTTACCTGGTCGTGCATTAATGTTGCAAGATGTGTTGTTTTTCCTCCAGGTGCAGCACACATATCCAAAATTTTCTCTCCTGGTTGAGGGTTTAAAATATGGCTCACAACCACAGAAGGTAAATTCTATCATCAAAACAAACATCAGAGAATTCAAACCTTATACCCTGCATCAATTCTTTTATTAAGGAATGACAAATTCATTGGAAAAAAAGAATGCATTCAGCAGTGAAGGTACCTATGATACTCCTCTCAGTTCTTTAACAGAAAATGAACTGTTTGTATTAAATAAAAGGTACAGTAAAGGTCAGAAGTCTCCAGTGAACACCTTTTTATTTAAAGCTATATACAAGTGTCTATGACTGAAGTGTAAAAGTTCAGGACTACAGAGACTACAGTGCTGTAACTCAAAATAAAATAAGCTCGTGCTGTCTCAGACACAGAGAAGCTCTGTCTATTACAAATATTTTATGCTAACCTGTTATTGGAACATTTGCTGTATCAAAATACTGGGACAGTGCAGTAATGTACAGTATGATCAATAGGCAGAGTTTATTCTTGCTGAATTCAAGTACCAAGAAGCTGAACTGCACTATTAATTGTATAAACAGAACAACTGCACTGAAGAGACATAACATGCAACAATTATGCACAGTATTGCATCTTAGACAGTACAGAAATATTCTCCTAGCTCAAAACAAAGATACAGAAACCTCTTTAACTTGTCTTTAGCACTTAAACAACAGCTTCAATTCAATCTAATATTTGGAGATTTTCCTGACCATCTACAGAATTATGTACCCTGAAAGAGGCTCATATTCCAGAGTCCATAGGCAGATTCCAAAAACTAGCATTTCTTGCAGAGCAGCTGTGCAAAAAGAATCTCTACATTTTTAAGTATCTCTTAAGTCACTTTGAAATCCTTTATCATATCTCAGACACAGCATGATTAAAACACCTACATGTAGCTACTGACTTAATTCCAAATGCTTTGTTTTCCTTAAATCCAAAGACTGAATTAGGTGCTATAATGCACAATGAATATATAAAGTATTAATGTGTGTTTAAAGAATATTCATCATTCTGTAAATAGTACAGACTTTTCTATAACATACCTGTAAAAACAAATGACTAGGGAGCACGTTGTCAAATGAAGGACTAAGGTAGACTGGCTCTATCATCCTTACGCCCAACCCTCTGAAAAACACGAAAAAATATTTTCAGCTACTCAGTTTTATAAATTCTAACAGTATTCAATTAAAATCATTATGCTTACAAATAGCAGCTTGAAACAACAATCTCACAAAATCGAAAGAACTTATAAATCAACCAAGACAACTACTTTTAGAATTTTGTACTCTGATATTCTTTAAAATGACATCATTAAGATGAGTAACCCATGACAAAAAGTGTACTACATTATAAACTGGAACCAGCTGTATAATTGCATAAAGCAAATTTAAGTTCTTGTACACAGGACAAATCAAGATCTAGTCCAAGCCCTGATACTGTAAAAAAATGCTTAAGAGCAGATTTAACTACGTTAACTTTAATCCATAACTGCTTTTACCTGGTCATGTATGCATCAGGGCCCTGGCATATCATTTCCTACTTTGATTTTCCTCCATTTCCTAAACTGTCTGACATTTCAGTCAAATAACTACAGAAATCATAGAACCATCATAGAATCATAGAATTTTAGATGTTGGAATGGACCTCACAGATCATCTAGTCTAAACCGCCTGCCATGGGCAGAGACACCTCCCACTAGATCAGGTTGCTCAAGGCTCATCCAGCCTGGCCTTGAACACTGCCAGGGTTGGGACAACCCCCACTTCCCTGGGCAACCTGTGCCAGTGTCTCACCACTCTTACAGCCAAAAACCTTTTTCTAATATCTAAGCTAAACTTCCCCTCCTTCCGTTTGAACCCGTCCTATACGAAAAACCTTACAGGAACATTGATTTGCCTGCAAAGCAAAGGGTTGAACTTACAAGTAACCTAAAAATTTTAAATATAGATGAAAAACAAACATTCCAGAAAATGGATAACAATAACCAAAAAACCAAGAAAAAGCAATACTCAACCTGAAAATAATATATGACTGAAGAGGAGTATTATTTTGCACTGCATAGTCCAAGAAGAATGTAGGAAATGAGAAAGGAAACTTGCAGACATGAGATTTAGTATTACATACTGCTACTCCATGTCACCAACTTAACAGGCACATCCTACCACTACTTCTACTATATTTAAGCTCTCATAAATCAGAAATCCTCTGACAATGTAATCTTTTTCACTAGATTTTTTGCAGTTTGTTCTCAGGATATAAAGTGTCACTCATTAATTTGATGTCCATGCTCTTCTACACTACTTATTACATGTGTCTTAGATGACAGGACAGGAATAAAACATATGCTTCAGCAACAAAACAGAAAAAGAAGCAATCTTGAAATAGGTAACAACCTTGGTAAATCCTAATAAATTTTTAAGATATCTGACCTTACGCTCTGTCCCCTGTCTCATTAAAAAAAAAAGTCCCAACAGATATTTTTAAGAGATTGAGAAGCTGACAAGGCTGCACTTGTGTTCCATCCAACAGGCAAGTGGTAGAGAACAGTTTACCAAAATGCAATTTTGCCACAGTGAGAACATTTTTCTATATTATTTAAGTCATATGCTAAACACAAATTATGAAAAGGCTCCCACTTATTTCCTCCTACCTCTCAAGTAAACTGGTATCTGGATACCATTGTGAAACTAAAGGTTTCCCAATAAATACTGGAAATCCCAACAGGTCTCGGTCAAAGCCATTCCTTCTGGTTCCACATAGGATACAGGACATTGCAAATGTTTTCCCCATCTTCTTCCTTCCCTTTGCAAATTTGTAGGGGTAGATTGCAGTTACTATGGACTTACTTCAAAGGGCCACTTGAACTAAAGATTTCACTGCGACTCAGTTCTGAAATCCCGTTTCCAAGAAAAACTTTGAATCCTTCAAACTCTTTGGCTCCTCTCTTACATTTCCCTTCAATATCTGAATACACCGAGACCAGATCTCCAGCTTTCATAACTGCACAAAGAAGAACGAAAAGTTTGAGATCAATATGACACTTAACAGAACAGCATAGACCAAATAATTTAGGATCTTCAGTAGACCACTTAAACTCCTGTATCATACCATCTTTAAACTTTCATAATGTAGTCAAAGAAGACTAACTGATATTAGGCTTGAAAATGTTACACAGTGAATGATGGCTACAATGTCTAGAGCTACTGAGAGACACCAAGTTTCAAATCAGTGTGCCTTGGTTTCTAAGAGGCTACACAAATCTGCACTTTATTTTATCATGGCAGGGTCCCATAAGTGCTAAGCACACTCTTCAGGGTCCAGTCCTCTTGTGTGCGCTCCAAGCACACAAGTACATCAAACAACAGTAGGTCACACTCATTAAACAAAGGCAATAATGCTAAATTTGTCAAATTTGTCTACATATCCTTACTACCTAGCTCAATAGCTAGGTAGAACATAGGTACAGATCCTTTTTCTCTAGCTATTGCTTTGACGCAAGTGATTACACATTCTTGTTTTGGTCTTGCTCTCTTCCCTCTAAGGCAACTGCTGTTCTCAATAATCCTCTTAAAGAGTTTAACATCTCCAAATTAAACCCACCATAGAATCATAGAACTCAGGGGTTGGAATGGACCTTACAGATCCCCTAGTACCCCTCCTCCCTGCCATGGGCAGGGACACCTCCTCACTAAATCAGGTTGCTCAAGGCCTCATCCAGCCTGGTCTTAACCAGATCAGTAAAGTATTTAAATATACACCAAACTGGAGGTGATTTTGTAGAATAGTGAGCAAGCTCTATGCTCTGACTGGCCAAAAAATAACAGGTCTTAAAAATAAAGGTCTCTTCTGACAGCAATACACAATGTTCCAAAATTACATTTCTGACCTGATTCACAGACTGGAGCAACCAGAAGATATAACAAGACTAACGACAGTTCAGCTTCCCAAGAATTCTTTGAATTGTACTCAGGAATCCTTTCTTCCATTTTCAAGTGGCCTTCTGATTATGCACAAATGCCTTGAAATTCTTAGATGGCAATATTTGTTGGGTAGCCACTGAAAATTTTTTTTTTTACATAGCTTCTTTTTACACAATGTGACACAAAATATTATGTGATAGCTCAGTTGTTGTCTGCTTAAACTTCACTGAACAATAACTTGCAGCAATTTAACTCATCCATCAAGCATATCTGCCCATGATTTTTTGCAGTATTCAAATGTAAATGATTTTATTTCACTCTCTGCTGACAATAGTCCTTTCAAAATGCATTAGTACTGCATACAGTTCTTAAAGTTTTTGTAGCTTACACTGGCATTCCATAAACATAAAGCTTAGAGCTGGATTAGTTAAATTAAAGCCCCCTGATCATTAGTTTACTCATTTGGGCTGCAAGTTCAGTGATTAAATGTGTGTTCTTGCTGTACTACTTTTTTCCCTAGTTAGACCATCTGTGCTTAATAGAGCCTTATTATATTTGGCATCAAGTGGGTAGCATGCCCTTTTATTTTATTTTCTTATCTGCAATTCCCCTGAAGTGTTCCTAAAGTTTTGTAGTATCTTTCCTTTCTTTGAATTGATGTTGCATGCATAATTACATGCAGCAATTATGATAAATCACTAGCTGACTCAAAGAGGATTTGAATATTTATGAGGTTGTCTAAATAAGCAGTTTCAACAACTGCTAGGGCAATATACTTATTTCATTATCAAGTCCAGATACAAAAAACATTCTTGTTCAGTGAATTGGACTTAAGCACATGCTTAAAACTTCTCGAAGGCTTTTTCCTGAAAGGGAATGAAGTGACTAGATAAATGCTTTCCTGACTCACTTTGTTTAATAATAAGAACCATGATGATTAGTAGGTCTCATCACAATAGAATAATAAGGTGAGTCATCCAAAATTATACTGGTTTTACATAAAGTTAATTTGACCTTTAAATAAAAACTCAATAGGGCTGCTGAACACAAAGCATGTATATGCAGATTTTTTATCTCGTCTCACAGGCATTGAAACATCATTTCCATTTCTGAAGAATCTGACATTAAAATTGAAGCTTTTCTCATCAATGAAAAAAGGTTTTTACTAGATTCCTCATACACAAACAATATCAAATTCATTGCCAATAGATTAAAAAAAGGAAATGTCATTTTTTAGACCTGTAACCAAATCTGTCAGGATGATGAAGCTAAGTGGCTTTGTGACTGAATGAAGAAACAACATATCTGGAAAGAGCATCTTGTAAATAATCACATCTGGTCACTATCCAGATGTGGCATCCCATTTATTTTATTTTTTTTAACAAGACTGGAAAGCAGCAAACTTCTGTAAATTCATTCAACTGAACATCCATATTAAAAGTTACAGCATTCAGTAATACCCTTAAAAGCCAGGTTTTACTCTGAAAATGCTCCTGAAAAACCTTTTGAACCAAAAACAAGAAACTGGAATCATTGAGAACTAACACTTCAGCTAGGAATTACATATGGAAAAAGGCACTTAAAACTGGCTAAATGAGAAATAATGACATATAATTTATTACGAGTACAGCAAAATATAGCAAAAATCTCAACAAAAAACTAAAAAAAAGCCAGAAAGACTTTTTAAGAATGTAATTACCACAAATAACAACTATAAGAATAATTTCAGCTATGAATAGAAAAAAAAATTTGTGTCACTATTTACTGGAAATTGTCAGCAAAGGATGACCCTTCTCCTGTCCTCTTTACAACAGAACTGGGTGTATTTAGAGAACTCTTACATCTCGAGGTAGATATGATTCCAGGGACATAAACATGTGCTCCTCGAAGTACTGCATATCCACACTGGGCTCCAACGATCACCTCAGATGAATGTTTTTTTAAATCTCGTCTAGAAATACAAAATGTAGTTCAGTTTAAAAAAAGAAACGGATACTGACAAAAAGCCAAATACCCCTCAAGTAAAGTCAAGGTCATAAATACTGATTTTGCCAGCAGATAATAGAAGTTAACTATCATGCATTACATTTGAAATATTTTAGTCCCAAGGGACTCAAAGGAAAGGAAACCAATCCTCAAAATCATGCAGATTCTGGCACATTCTGCTACTATTATGAACCTGACACAGGAATACAAATAAATTATGCTTGGAAAGAGAAATATTCCTCTATCTCTTCCTACGCCAGTGATTTTTTGTGTTTAACAACTGCTGAGTACTTTTTGATTCCACTTGATTCCTTCCAGTGGAAAAAAGTCCTGTCTGCATTTAGCTATAGTTCTTTGCTCCACCACAAAGGTTTGCCACCTACCTGGCTTTCCAGGTTACATTTTCCCTATAAAACATTTAGCCTCATAAATAAGGAGAGAACTCTTTTTTACGCTTTCTTACATCTTTTAAGGACTAAAACTCTGACCTGGTTAGTATACGGACTGTCCACTAGGTCGTAAAATAAATAAAGTTGTGCTTCAGTTAGTTAGTTATCACAACTGTTTAACAAGAAATCTGGAAGTAGGTGGTGTTACAACATTTTAAGTTCAAAGACTTAAAATTTCAAACCTGGGTCCAATGACAGGAATCAATAAGATGTCCTGGAGTTTTGGGTGCTCAAGAACTGGAACACGTAGTCCTTTAAATTGCTGTTTCATTGAAAAAACATGATTATTAAGCACTACTAATAAACCTAATATTAAAATATTTAATTAGACTGAAAACTGCTTTTCCTGAAAACTACTTTTCCATTGATATTTTATAGGTGTAGAGTACAAAAACCAAGGCAGTAGAAACACTTAAGAGAGGTTGGGAAATAGTGTGTAAGGAGACACTCTGTATTAAAAATACTGGTGTAAAAGACTAAGCACTTATTAAAATAAGAAATAATAAGGCCACAAAGGTACTAACTGAGAACTGAATTCAGGGGGTGGGAGACTGTTCTGACACTCATAATCCTACCACTGGTTTTTGCTTTCTTCTGTAAAAAGGTTGTGTCGAGTTGTCATCAGAACACAGTAACACCACCACAGAAGGCTGGGTCTAATCTGTGTTGCCTTTTTTAGGTTATTATTTATAAACCATTGCTTAATTCTATTCATGTATTGTTTGTCTTAATACTCCAGGTTGGCAATAATTTTCATTTTTCTTGTCAGCTTAAGTTTGCTTGGGTACTGAGAGCTGAGTTGTGCATACAGTGGTAAAAATGGGACAGCTTGCCATTTTATAATAGTTCCTGGATTTAAAAAAGATGGTGTCTTCTCTCCTGAGCCTTATAAATTATAACCTTAAAGCATGTAAACCCATAAATCATTTTGCATCTGACAAATATTTTAAGAAATAAAAAAATCCATGCCCATACTTTAGTTAAAAAACATTTTGTGGTTTCCCTAATACAGAAACACTTCAAATTACAAAAAGTTTGTGAAAAGCCAGTCTTAAGGCAGTTTTCAGCTAAGTCTTTTCCCTTGCAGCAAAATATCATACTGCAATACCCATTTCCAGATTTCTACAATCAAGCTAAAATTAGCATAACTCATTACCATTCCAGCCAGCAGAACACTGTCAACTGCCTCTGCATCACAGAAATGTCTTGGCTCATGTCATGCAAAAGCTCCCTGTACACCCACTAGCATTAATAATTTACTTAAAGAAGAACTGGATCTTTTTAGACAGAGTGGAGATCTAGGACACAGTTTCAAAAAATGTATTTCTTAAACATAATGGCTTACATATTACCAGATAGCTAAATGTTTAATCAAGGTAAGCAAAAAATCAGAAAATGATACAAAGATTAAAAGCAGGTTAACTGTTTTACAGTTAACCTCACAGCTGTGTGGTATCACTTTCCTAAACAGTTTCTGCAATGAGATATACAAGCATTCTCTTTTAATCTTAAATAAAAATGTTCTAAACATGCTGAAGACAGCATACTGAACTACAGCTTTTATCTCATTCTACCATCTTCTCTAGACATTTGACATCTCTGCAGTATTTACCACAGTAGTACCTCAATCCTATCTAAGATCTGGATCTGTCACATAAAAAAGCATTGGTTGTTTTTTCCCTCTGTTACTGCCTTTCTCGGATGGATTAGATGAGGAATACTGCTAGACAATGAATTTTCATGTAACATGTTCTGCTGACAGGAAATCAATATGATTGCATAACATTAATAGTAGTGGACATGCATTAAGGTATGGAATAGTTTCCAGTAATGAAAAGCTTTCATAATCAGGCAAATGATGAAATATCCTATTATTTTTGTTGTTAACAAAGAAATTGCACAAACCTTCTGGATCTCTTCAAATAGCATTTTTTTCACATGTTTCACTGAGGCCAAGTGAGTATTGACTCTAACAGTTGTAAAACCTGGTGGATGAGATAGATGACTTAACAAAGACTGATATTTATTCTCCACCTCCTGTGTACCTAAAGCAGTGATAAGCTGAAAGGGAAAGAAGAGATTTTACTTTCAAGAGATTCACAGAGCAGCCTCTTAGTACAAAAGAACCCCACTGAACAAACATTCCATAGAAATGGAGGAATATGTTTGTGTCCTACGCAATTGAGAGGAATGTCTATGTGTGGATGCCTAATTCCACTGCAAGTCCTATAAATTTCTTAAAAAGCACGTGTTGGAAAAATAGCTGCTATTAGCAAAATCATTGTAAACACCCTCCAGCAAGCACAAAAGTTACTGCTGGTGAGCTTAGAGGCAGAGTACAAAGAACAGTCCTGAGGAAATGGAGGAGTAGATTCAAAGCTATGAATTTATATCTCTCATACTGATATATGAAAGTAATTTTTTTTAATTGTTTGGCATTAGGAATTAATAGACTGTCTATAGTAGTTTTGGTTCTACACTGGGGAAAGGGAGTATTTCCTGTCAATATCATGTGGATAATAAGTGGTTAATTATCAATGACAATTCTTCAATGGGATCTAAAACCAAATTCTCAGATTTACGCTAAGTTTAATTTAAATACTTGAAAGTTACTTTGAACCAATGGGCATAAAGATCAATTTTATGTTTTAAATATAAAACATATTTTATATATTGAAACCCATATCCAAATAAAGTTACACAAAAGATAATTATTTGTTGATAATCACTAGTATCTATGTCACATACCTCATTATTTCTGAACACTTTGGTGAGATACTCTTCAACTTCACATTGGAAAGAGATTTTGGGGAAAAAGGACATCTTGCTTTAGTTTTTTTAATCTGTTGGTAAGGAACTGAAATAAACAAAAGAGTTTCTTAGTGATTCTTACTGTATTCTCTAAGTTTATAAATGTAACACAAGATGTACCCAAAAAAATAAAACCAAGGGGATTTCACTTCTTCCTGTACACACAGGGTAGACTCACACAGAAGCATGATGCCACATCTGTGCTTTTACCCAGTTACTGAACACTTTAGGAAGTCATCATGGAACACATATAACAAGAGTTATAAGACTTGACTGTGACTAGTTCACAGGGCCTGGTATGAAATGTGACAGCAGAAGAGCTCCTCTGTCATAGCAACTGTAAGGTATGTGCACTCAACACGTTACTGAATAACAAATACACATGTACTTAATTCAGGGAGAGGAACAACACAAATGAAAAGCAATTCCTCAGTTAAGAAGAGCCATCAAAACAACAAAACCAAACAAAAAACCAAAACCAAAACAACAACAAAAAAAAAAAACCCAAAAAAAAAACCCAAAAGAAAAAAAAACCCAAAACAAACAGCCTGGAAATGTAAAAACCACAGAACTGGAGGTTCAGAGCACACTCACACAATCTGCAGCTTCAGCACTGTATATTTGCCCTTCCCGTGGCCATTATCTCAGAAAAGATGCAATGAAGCTTAGAAAAGAAAAAAGGGAAAGGTGATTACATAGGGAATTGCTTTCAAATACGGAAAGAACAAACTGTTTACAATCATAGAATCAACCTGGTTGGAAGAGACTTCAAAGGTGACCAACCCTACTGCC